TGGTGATTGAATAGTATCCGTTACTATTCAAGGGGGATATTTTGCAAAGGGGGTACTAATGTCAGCGCTATACGGTACTATCATATTTTAAAAAAAAAATCATAAAATTAAAGTTCATATATAATATAAAGAATTAATCCACAATCTTAGCATGTTAAATTCATTATCTTTTCACAATAATATTGTGCAACTCATTTTGTGAATCGCATTAATGTTATCTCACCAAATAATTTACTTTGTGGAATAGAGAGATCAATTTATTTATTTATTTATATATTAAAATAAAATTACAAAAAATATTCAAAAATATTTTTAAAAGTTAAAAAATAATTTAAATAAAAATCATCTTCTACCAAATGGTCGTTCCGGCCTTCTTGTAGGCTGAGAAGTCATAGAACGAGATGCCCATTCTTGTGGAACAGTTCGTCTGGGTTCACTTCCATTTTTAATCCGAGGACCCATTCCAGGAGCTGATTGTTGTACTGGAGGACGATCATACGGAGCCATTGGTGAAGGCATGCTATAATATTGGTTATCATAATAACCAGTACGCATCGTTTGACCTTCGTATCGAGTATAATCACGTTGACCTTCAATCCGTCTTTCAAATTCCATATATTTATTCATTGGTGGGCCCATTATTATTGGCAAGGATGGAGTCCAAGCACCACCACTTCCCATATCCCAACCACCAACAATACTAGCAGTTGTATTACTACCTCTACCCACACCTACGCCACGCCCACTATTACTAGCACCACGTGAAGCACCTCGTTGTACTGATGTCGAACTTGTACTGGGTCTTCTCCCTCGCCCTCTATTATTATTAGTCAATTGAGTGTTAGTAGTAACAGTTATTATTCCACCTCGTTTATTCTGAGGTTGGGTACGATTCGTGGCATTTGTTTTCTTTTGTTGAATAGCTACTGTAGTTGGAATTGTTGGAGTTGATGTGGTGGTTGCAGTAGACAACATGTCAGGATGTTGTTGATTGACTGGAATCTTTCCAGACATAAAATCATCAACGTGAACCGAAGGAGGTCGGCTGGTATTGGCTTTTCTGTTATTATGGATGCTTCGAAACTCATTTTTTTGATAAGTCTTACCTCCACCCAAATTCCTTCGAGCATTACTTTCATAGGCAATACCACCAAGCTTACTCAAAGTGCGTGTTTTTAACAACTTTCTCCCTTTAGCTGCGCTATCACCAGAAATTTTCATTTTTTTGTGAAATTGGAAATTTGGCAACATCTCCTTGGCGAAAACTTCAAAATCTATTTCTAAATCAGGAGAGCTAAATAATCCGCCGTCGCCGAAATCATCTACAATATCATAAAATGGGAAATCCGGATAATCATCTAGATAATTGTCATAACAAGTTAAACTTAAATATGATAAATTTTAAACCAAAATATCTTAATGCTTACCAATAACTACCCCAATGCTTATTGATCCAATTTCTTTCCTTATGGAAATATTATGGTTATTAAGCTTATTGATAACTTCGGAAATTCTGATATTAAATTTTTTTGAATTTTCATCAATGTTTGACATCATTTCATTTTCATTAAATTCTCGAGTATAGTCATGCATATTATCTTTAAATCTTTTAATAACATTAACTATTGACTGACATAAATGATCATAAATCATCTCTTCATCTATATTATGAGATTCATATGGAAGTTCAACAATATGTTGCTCAATATTTTCATATGACTTGAGAATTGTTTCAGCGTCTTTATGTGAATCAAATAATACAGGTAGAGACCCCAAGTTATCTTTTAAAAAAGGGAATTCTTGTTGCAATTGTTCAGGAAGAACATATCTTATTATTGTAAGAATAAAGATAATCGAACGGTACGCAATAGTTAGGTCTTGAATACGTAAATCTTGTGATCGAAGCAAATCAGGAATCCAAGCCATAATATCGCTAATTAACTGACGGTAATATTTTTTTGAAAGAATAAATAAAGCTCCTATTTCTGTTTCTGCGATTTCCTGTAGGATTAAAAGTGAACGAATTTGAAGTCGACCATTTTTCCCATGTTTTACCCATTCTAATAAACAATCTATAATGATGGAGAGATCATCTAATCTGGGCATTTTTTTTCCTGAAGTAGTTATTGCAGAATTGCATAATAAGAATAAAAATTCCATAATTATATCACTAATAAAAATAAAATTCACATGATTGATAGATGGAACTATATTCAATAAGATTTTTACAAGGCCACGCGTTTTTTCTAATGGTTCATCATGATCTAACATCATAGCATCATCAGCTATACAATTTACAGAATCAAGTAGTAATGACCTTCCGGATGATGTCCCACATAAGGACGTCAAAAGGCTCATCCATCGTCCAAATATTGTTAATTTCATTTGAATGTCTGAGGAGATGGTCATATCATCATTCGACATTTCGGGTTCTTCTCCTTTAAAGTCATCAATATTAACACCGATGTTCCGCTTTTCTGACTTTTCAATAAACGAATTGAATTGTTCAAAAGCGTCTCGTACGCCGTTGACAATAACAGCTACAATTCCTCTTCCTATACCAATATCCAAGAAATCTAAATCGACCAATTGACATATGACAGTACGAAGCATCATATGCAATATTTTCGAACTCGAAGGAGCGATGCTTTTGGTGAGGAAAATTAAATCGTCTCGTAAAGGAAGTAATTGCTTAATCCAATAATCTCGTAATATACGTGCTTCTTGTTGACTTTGCTGCCAATTAATAAATTCATCACTTTCCAAGTTTCCTTCAACACGTTGAGAAAGCAATGGTGTTGGTAATATTTCACTCAGTATATGCAATCCACTAAGGAAATTGTTGGGTCCATCAAACATAAAATCAACTAATTGCTTAACCACATGGCGACCAGTAAATTCGGAAAAAAAACGAGATCTATAATTTATTTCTCGCATTTCATCACTTTGTAAAGGCTTTTCTTCAATTACAATCTGAGTTAATAATCCAAATAAACCTAAAATAAGACCACGAATGCGTGCAATCTGTGCAGATTGACCATTTTTCAATGGTGGATCATTACTTAATAAAGTAGTAGCTCCAAGTTGATCACTTAAACGTCCGTCTAAATGATCTAAAGCAGACACAAGCATGAGCCATGGTTCAACACAAATTCGAACCATGGATTTTTTCTGAGATGGTAAAGGGTCTTCTGGTGATTCATTTTCACCATATATATCTCTAAAGTGTCTTTTAGCTGCACTTCCTTCAGGGTTTCCATAAACCGATCGAAGTAGTCTACGTATTAATATTAAATTATACCAAACCACATCAAGTAATTCTCTTCGAAGTTCAAAAACTTCGGATGACAACATAGATTGTATAAAAGTAGGTGCATTATTATTTGAATTATCATTTCTGTTTTCATATATATTTCCATTGGATTTTGATGTTTCTTGAACTTTGGACTCGTCATGATTTTCAGAAATCAAACCATCCGATGTATAATTATATTCTGATGTAGATTGATGTTCTGCATACACAACAAAGTCGCTCAAATCGGATAGAACTTCGGCAACGTGATTTAAAAGCCTTAATAAGAAAACCAAAAAACTGTCACCGTTATCATATCCACTAAAATCATCCATTCGAGCTTTCAAAATGTGCAGAATACCACTTTCATTATATGTATATGACATTAAAAGCCTAAGCGAAACAAGTATTTGATTAACAGAATTATGATCTCTTAAACATTCAGGATAGTCTTTTTGATGTTTAATAATATCGATTACTCCTTGAATATTTCCAGTTTCATGAAAAGCAGCAATTGGATCCCATAATGAACGTAAGTGGCTTTCTGAAGAAATAAATGGATTCACAATTTCATGGATTTGTGGTGTTAATAAAAATGGAAATGACGAAGAGAACTTTATAACAATTTCCAAAAGTTCCAAAGAGATACGTCCTAGAGCATTAGAGTCAGTACTTGAAACGGAACCCGATACAAATTCTTGTGCTGGACTAACATTTGCAAAAGATATAATGGTCGATAGAGCATCGAGATAAATAACTGTAGATGCTACAGCCTATTAATGTAAAATATAAGTCATCATGACATGAATTGGATTACTATATTTCTTGCAGTAAGGATCATATCCATTAATATCGTAATTATTAAAGAATGAAAATAGTGACCTGCTTTCCAACGTTAAATGTTGTCAATTCAAATAAATCACTCAGTAATTTCGATATTTTGGCGTAATCCACGTAAGTTTGGCTTTCTAATCCTCCTTTTCCATATTCCAACAATCTTTCAATAATAGCGACAGCATATAGTTGATATGTTAATAATATGACTAATTGGTTGGATGGAATAATACAATTATCCAAACAACAAGTCTCTGCACCAATAGCACCACAACTTTGCATATTTAAAATCCGCCGTGCCTTTTTCAAAACAGAATCCTCATAATCTTTTTTGTTTGTAAAGGTAAAGTCATCTTCGCTATAATCACACATATAATCATAATCCTCATCATAATTTCCACCTGTTTTAGATTGACCAAAACCAAACCATATATCCCCAATACCTGGTGTTCGCCTCAATTCATTTATATCCGTTAACGGATAAGAATTTGAATAGGCTTCCAAAGAATCTTCCATTGAAATACCATCATGTCGACATAAAATTGTTGACCATATAATTAATAAACTGTCACCGAATAATTCATTAGTTTGTTGTAATTGTTTGACTAGATAAAGCATGCTAATCCGAGCACCCATTAAAATAACACATAGTCGACCGATTGAATTCACCATTTCATGAAACCTCGAACATGAACGCACTCGGTGTGATGACATAATAATTGTAATAGCTGGAAAAAAATGGCAAGAAGTGAGATATTTAAAAGAGAAAATGGGTGGGTAATTTTGATTGGAATCTTCCCCTGAATGTAAAGCCATATAATATAAAGCTGCTTTAGAAACGATATGCAAGCAATTGCACACTCGATCGATGATCGATTCAACATCAACTAGTTCATGTACATTTTTATCTGAATTAGAAAAACTACTATATATTTTTGGATTATCGAAATTATTCGTTGATTCTTCCTTTTTCTTCATTTTCATTCCAGGTTGTAATTTGTCTTCCACTAATTGTTGTAGATTTATACAGGCTTCATAAATAGTAATTTTGCGTACGATAGCTTGAAGTAAATGTAAAATGCGCAAAGGCAGATTTTTGATTTGTAACATTGGTAAAATAAAAGTTTTGTATAAACAATCTCCAGCATTATCATCATTATTATTACTATAACGTGAGAATTCTTCAGCAACTCGCGGTTCTCCTATGCACTCCAATAAGCCGCGGAGTATAATAGTTTGCAAAGTTGATGATACAAACTGTTCTTTTAGAAGAGATACCATAAGTTTGAGGCAGGTCTGGATCTTTATGAAAAGTATTATAAATTTATTAAAATTTAAATTTCATGAAAATTAAGAACATTAGAATATTTTATATCAATTTACCATTGAAGAATTAATTATATCTTCTCCACATGAACACAGTTTGCAGAACAACGTCAGGCCATTTTCAAATAATTTCACGGTAGACTATCAGATTGCGTCACATGAAATTAGAACTGGTAAATTATCGCCAGCATCAACTTTGTATGCGTGGAACATCAATCATTTCTAAGTAAAAAAAACAATCAGTGATTGTTCACCTTTCCTGTTGTCATATCAAGAGCGAACAGTACACCTTTATATACTGTATTCATTTCGTCTAAAGCATGATAAAAGATGAAGTTAAAATAATGTCGAAAAATAAAGCTAGTACAACCAACAAAAATTCTTACCTTCATATCGAATCATATGGCACTTTGCCCAGAGAAATCCTTCCACAAGTACATTGCTGAGTTGATGGAGCAGTTCTTCAAATGCAGTAGAAGTTCCTTCCGTATAAGAGATAATGTCCATCTTATTTTCAATATTCATTTTAGACAAGAATAAATGAATTTGTTTCACATAAACGTTAAATTCATCCCAAGCTTCTTTGAATATTGGCTTAGAAGCTTGTGATAAAAGTGGTTCATCCGGTGATGTATGATACTAGCATATGGGAAAGGAAATTTCGTTAGAATACTCAAAATAATAATACCCAATAATACTTAATTTATCGTATTATTTACCACAAGTATATCTTTATTTAATTTTTCATCCAAATTCCAAACAGAAAAGTCAACAGCGTTTGCAGGAGACAATATTCTGAAAACTCCAGCACGATCCTTGTTCAACAATGCACTTATCTTATCAGCATCAGAATTAGTATCTCTATGTCCATCATCTAAATAGAATGCATCTTCTTCCATTGTTGTTACAAATTGGCCTTCAACAGCTTTTAGCTCGTCAAGGATTTGTACCGATGAAGTAGAATCTATTACGGGGGTATTTTGTTCTTCTTGAACACCTTCCATTATAACATCATGATTATAAGTCTCTAGAGGTTCGATAGAGTCCATTTCATCAATTTTTTCTTCTTTGTTAATAGGTATATTTCCAAGTGAATTTTCTTCAACTTTTAACTCTATATTATTACCCATGATTAGCTTTGATGATGATTCTACGAATGGTTCAGAATAAGTTAAATCAGTTCCGTTAAGAAAAAATGTATCCAAGTTATTTTTTTATTGTGTTAACTTTCGCAAATTGTAGATGCACCTATTTTATCCTTAGATTTTATATATTGAGGCTTGCTAATTTCCATAACTCTTCCATAAATACATAATGTCACATTTTGGTAATTTCCACGAAGTATTATAAAACGAGTAGTGGCCTGCAATTAAAAAATTTAAAATTTAAAATATAATGAATAATGATTTTATTATGGTAACACTCAAAAGACTCACTTCAGGCAGTAAAGTGACATCATAGCTAAGGAATCCCTTCTTTTCGTCGAAAGAGATTGTTAATGGGTGTAAAGGTAAAGTTGGTGGTCGTTTTTCTGGTGGTTTAGCTGAATCGGCAGTAAGAGTTTTATGAATAAGAAGATTTAGGTCAAATTTATTAGGGGAAGTCTGTCTATAAAGGTTCGATGTTTAGTTGGTTATTTCAGTAATAAACACGAAATCGTTATTAAAAGTTTTAGATAAAATAAATTTTTGCTACCCACCCTACATGATCATTTTTACGACTGCCTTTAAACGGACGAAAATGTTTTGGCACTACCCTTATTTCAGATAAAACGACACGTTGGTGAAATCTAATACATTCTGTTGGAAGTTCGTCGCTACTAAAATTACTTGCTGTTAATGTGTCAAAGAACAGAAGTTGTGAGGTAGATTTCTGAGTACTATTAATGACTTCTGCTGGATTTGCAGTCATGTTTACGAAATGGTTTACTATTTCTCAGAGTTAATCGATATTAATTTTATATATGATTTATTTATTGTGATAAAATAATTTTAATTGGATAATTCTAACAAAAATTCGTTTATTTTTTTTTTGGTCATTCACATTAATTTATCATTTATTGGATCGTACTGAAAATGAAAAGGAAAAATAAAAAAATACGTTTATATATCAGTTCTTCTTAAATAGATTCTTTTCAGTTCCATTCCCTAATTCATCCCCACTTTTTGCTTGTAAACTCCAAGGAGAAGAAGGACGGTTGATAATATCACCTTCAATATCTCCTACACAAGGAAGATTCTTTTTTACATTCTGAATAATTGTAGTATCATGAGTATCATGATGATAAGAAGGTACTCGTGTCAATGGAGTTGGAATTTGAGAACTAGAATTAATTTGATCAAAAACGTTATCGCCACTTTGTTGCACATCAAATGATAACGGAGTCGAAGGACGAGAGCCTGGTGGAGTTACGTGAGGAGAGACGATCGGTGATTTAGAAAATCTCTCTCTAAAAATTGAATGAATAGGTCCAAATTTCTCAAAAGATTTTGAAGACTCTTGTTTCGTTTGTGTCGTCTTCTGAATAGTGTCTTCTACACTATTCTTATTCGTCAAATCAATCTGCTCTTGACTATCATTTTTATAGAGCTTTTTGCGATTTTTTTCTCTTAAACTTGCAGTATCATGGTGTACACCAAATATTGTTTCCATTATTTTCTTTAAACAAATTTTTTGAAGTTATTTTGAATTGGGATAATTAGTCATCGTTAAACAATTAAAAATAAAATTGCTGCATTTTTGTTATTGCAATAAAGTTACACAAATTATTCACGTGGATACTACCATTGATAGTTCGTTCCAGAATCATAAGTTGACTATAACAAGAAAATAAACAAATGCTTATGAATCTTTCGCCACTTTCTATGCTTTTTTAGGAGCATAACTTCAAGGAATAGAACAGCATTCTTAGAAAATGTTTCTAATGACTAGTGGGAGATATCTAAAACTTTGATAGTTTTGTTTTTTTTGGCATCTTATCTTTGTTGTTTTATTATAAGATCGATAATAATAAAAATAGGATTATACTGTATTTCTTTTCTTATGACTTTATGAGGGCATTTTTAGGAATATAGGTAAAGCCTTGATAGTCATCAAAGTGAATAAATAAGAAGTTGATGAACATGTGTTTTCTGCAATAAAGTTTCCTTTTATATTTGACATGTTATTAGTTGCATAAAAAAATATTGATGCAGTAATAATATTAAAAATAGTTTTGTTATTGTTTTGTTCACATGATTTATCATTGTTTTCTATTTTATTTGCTTAGATTTGAGAATTTAGAGGCATGCATAGAATCATTGGTTGTTTGAAAAACAAAAAGTAGAGGAATATCTTTGTTTGAATTAATAAAAGTTAGGATAATATCTTAGTTTCAGAAGAATTTGTTAGTATTGAGTTAATAATAGGTAAAATAGTGTTATTTTCAATAAGGATATTGTTAATAGTTTTTTATAAAGGAGTTTTTTGAGTTTGAGATAAAGTATTGCTAGCAAATTTTTATTTTTTGTTTATTTTTTATTTATTGGAGTTGCTTGAGAGCTAAAGGTATTGTTTGTTATCTAAAGTATTATTATTATTTTTTTATTATATAAAATATTTTGGGAAATTTTTTGTGCTTTATTTATTTTTGTTTGTCTAGTTATTAGCATATTTTATTATTTTTTATGAAAAGGAAGAAAAAAGTTTTTGATTTTAAATCAGCTAATATTGAGATAATCATGATTAAATTATTGGCTGAAATTATAATTCAATAAATTCTACTTAAAGGAATCTGATTTTAACATTCAATCATGAATATCTCATGATTGACTGATCATATTTTACAGCTAATTTCATAATTCGTGGACCACTAATAAATTGCGACTGAATGTGACTGAAAATATTTTATAATAAAATTACTAGAAAATATTGCGACTGAATGCGACTGAAAAATTATTAATGGTCCATAAATTATGAAATTAGCTGTAATGTATATAAGCTCATTAAATTCATCTAATTTTGAGGATTTAAATGATTTTTTTTTACAATGTAGTATTATCATAAATTTATTAAAATTTGCATAGTTATTATAAAATTAGAAAATAAAGTAAAAATAAAAAAACTAAACTATGACTCTAACATTATTTTATTACTAAAAAATGGCTTAAATATGTTTAGATTGATTAATCACTAGAATTCACTTTCAACTAAGGTTGCTTGTCTAAACTCATTTTAGATTTGGTTAAATGTTTAAACCTTTAGTTTCACTAAGTGTTTGATATAGTTTCACCATTTTTAAAGCTTTGATATAGTTTTATCTTTTCCTGAATTTTGCAGATTTTTTAATAAGCTTTTAATATAATTTAATTAAGTTTTACCCTTTACTATTTAGACGTTTGTCTAAACTCTTAATTTCGCCTAGCAACCTTACTTTCAACAAAATAAAAAATGCATATCTGATGACCAAGTATTAAGAAATTCAAATGAGATTATCAGTACCTATTCACGAAATCTAACCAAGTATTACTGAACTTTAAGGTCAAGGTTTACCAAAATATCTAAATTGTTAGATATTAATCTAATGTATTAAGTGTAGGTCTAGTAATGAATATATCAGTTTGATAGTGAGGCTTATGCTTCTTCTTTTTTTTTTTTTTAATTTCTTAAGTCTAGTAGTAATGCCAAGAAATCTTTCTTTATCAATCATTTTGTTATACTAGGAAATCTATAAATTATTATAGAAGAGATGGATAAAGTAATTTGTAGTTAAGTACAAAATTAAGAAGGTGTTTGATGGTAAAAATAATAATTGTAATAAATGAAAGAATTCAATAGGAATTAAACCTTTAAACAATAAATTGAAGGAAATGAAGTTTGATTGAAGATTAAAATAGTGATAAATTCTAGACTAAAAGGATTTAAAGAGAGTAAGACGCTCTTTATTTTTTCCTAATTTATCTATAATAAATTGATCCAAAAAGTTATACAAAGATAATTAGAGATCAGTAACAATAATGTGGTTTATCAGACAAGTTCACAAATGATTAAGATTTTCATCAGTTATATTACAAGTTACATATAACCAATTAGTATAAAGTCTTGCTATTGAACAATAAGTTTGTTTAATGTTAATGGTTCCTTAATAAGAATTTTTGTTTTGAAAATCCTTTTATTTCATTGAACAAAGGTGATCATTGTTAATGTATTATTTTTTAGATTATAATCATCAAAGAAGGAAGTCAAATTATGTAAGAAGATCTAGTAAGTTGCTATACAAAAGTATTTTTTTGCAATTCTAAAAAAAAGAAAATTGCTCAGTAGAGTTAAGAGGTCTTTCCAAAATTTACAAGAAAAAAACTCATTCAAAATTGTATTGAAAGTCATAATGAGTTTTAAATCTTTAGTAGATGTGTAATTAAATTGAAGAATAGGTTGAGAACAGCCTTTCTTTGCTAAAATATCAGCTTTATCATTAAACAGATCACTAGAATGACATTTAACTTTAACTAATTTGATATTAAAAGATAATTGTCTAATAATAAACTGTAGAAAATTCACACAGTATAATTACCTTAGACCTAGTAGTCAAAAAACTATTCGTGATATACTAATCAATAGGATTCCGCATAAATCAAATTAGATCAAATTTGATTCAAATCTGATTTGATTTAACCCAAATCTGATTCATCTCAGATTCAATTCTATTCAACTTGACTCGAATCAAATTTGAATTGATTTGACTTAATATAATTTGAATCTGATTCGATTTGATTCAAATTCAATTTGACTTATCTTAAATCAGATTCAATTTGACCTAGACTGTTTTCTATAAAGGTATGTTAGTTTAATTTTTTTTTAAAAAAAAAAATTATTTATTTAATTAGTACTTACCTTCATGTATAATTCCAAGTTTTATAAATTTCAGATTGGTCAACAAAGGTAAGTTAATAACATTTTTTTTTTTTTTAAAAAAAAAATTAAAAAATAAAAACTTAGGGTTTACCTTGATATAACCCTAAAAGTTTAGTTTTGAACTATTCTATAAAGGTAGGAAGTAAGTGTTAGTATAGATATTATTTTAAATAAACAAATTTCTCTATGATAACTTATCTCTTTCAAGAATCAGATGGATATCTGAGGATCAATTTTTTTGATTCAGAAAATGAATATGGGTTGGTAAGTATTATTTACCTTAATTTGTATATTTTTTTTCTTTTTTTTGAAATATTTGAGTAATCGCATATGGGCTGATTTTAGTTAATTTATTTATATATTTTTATGTTTAGGTTTTTTTTAATTTTTGTGTTAATTTCAGTATTTTTAGCATCGTGTGATGTTGTTTTTTAATTTTTTTTTAAATTTTCTTTTTCTTTTTAGTTTTCAATTGCATTAGGTACTAGTTTCAGCATTTTTTAGTTTTTTTTATTTTTTTTTAGATTTTCTAGCGATCGCATTATTATGTTGGTTTTAGATAACTTTTTTTTGGTTTAGATAAGTTTGTTTTAAATTTTTTTTAATTTTCTTTTTTTTTAGTTTTCGATTGCATTGGATACTGATTTTACCATTTTTTAGTTTTTTTTATTTTTTTTTAAATTTTCTAATGATCACATTATTATGCTAGTTTTAGGTAACTTTTTTTTTTAGATTTTTAATCACATGTTTTTAGATTTTTGTATTTAGGTAATATTTTATTTTATTTTTTTTAATTTTTAAATTTTTATTGATTTTTGATTAAAATGTCAATTGATCACATCGGGTGTTTTTTTTATTAATTTTAGATTTTCTATTACTAAATGTAAGTAATATTCATTTTTTTATTTTTTTTTAATTTTATTTTTTTTAGGATTTCAATTGAATGTATCAGGTATTAGTCTGTAAATAATGTTTATTTATAAGGTAATATTTTTATTTATTTTTTTAAATTTTAACTAAAAAAAAATAAAAATAGATTTTATTTATATTTTAAAAAAAATAAAAGCATAAATAATATATAATAAAATTAAAACTATTCTTCTAAAATATTTGTTTACCATGATTTTAAGTACATTAATATTTTAATCATTTTTCCTGTCAACGTATTTCTATTATCAGTAATCAAATTTTTTATTTATAGAAAAACATTGTTTAGAAAAAACACTTGTAAATGATATTGCTAAATAATCTCGTGTTATTTTAGCAAGGCCTAGATATTGTGTTTCATTAATTTTCTACAATTCAAGTAGATTTATATTATTATTTACAGTAGGAAAATTAATATATAAATTAAATTCATCATCATATTTTACATAAAGTTGTTTAAATACTTTGAATATAATTAATTTTTCTTCTTTTTTTTTTTTAGAATCATCTGTAGCAGATATAGTAATTTTATAATTTGTATTATAAACTTTTAAAAAAAACTAAAAAATAAAAAATAAAAAAAAATATAAATAATTGTTAATTAAATTAACCTTTGTTTAATACTATTAATTAAATCATCTTTCCATTGATGATCATAATTTTTCATCATTATTATCATTAAAATCTTTATTTTCATTATATTTATTTTCATTAATATTATCTTCAAGATGATCAATAAGCAAATTATATAAAGGTATTATAGTAGAAATAATAGGATAAGTATAACCAGACATAATTATTATTACTTCTTTAAATGTTTCAAGAAATATTCT